GCACAGTGTGAGCTCTCAGGTCGCATCAGAGCATCGGGTCGTATAGTGTAAGACCTGCATCGTGACCTACCAACTTCTAACCCTGCGAGTCAATCGTGCAGTTTGAGCAGGAGCTGAATATCGTGACTGAAAAAAATCGCACAGTGTCTGCCCAGCTTTAGGTGTACTGTCGTCCGAGACTTGCACCGCAGTGTCGGCGTTTGTTTCACTGTTGGCCATGCTTCTTGTTGTGGTCATCTGTTGTCTTCCGGTATTTTCTCCGCAAGCGACCTTTCCTCGACCAATTAGATGAGCGGTAATCTGAACTGTCATACTCGAATTGTCAGAAGTGTGCTGTCAGCTCATTGGTCACAAAGCAGGAGAGGGGCTGGGAATTATGTTTTCAAACAAAGCGTTAATTCCATTAAAAGTTATAGACTACTTTTGATTCTCACTTTATTACGGGACAAAGTGCGTCCCTTATTAGCTCAATACGGGACGTGTACTTTTGTTTCGAAATACGGGACGATTCCGTATTTTAAGGGACGGTTGGCAACCCTATTCACAGTAGTCACTCAGTGTGTCTTTAGGGATTTGCTAGCTTAGCTTAGCTCATAGCCAACCCGCTAGCAGCATGGCCTCTTTACCTGTGCCTCGTGCACTTTCCTGCTCAGATGTTTAGTCAGTCATCGGCCTGCTTTAGCAATAACAACACTTGTAATAGGCTGCAAAAGGCTTCTACTTGTGCAGACTCCTGCTCACACTGGAGTGGTTCACATCCATGTGAAGCGGCAGGAATGACAATCAGCATCTCCAAGTCTGAGACCATGGTCCTCAGCCGGAAAAGAATGGAGTGCCCACTCTGTGTCAAGGACAATTTACTGTCCCAAGTGGAAGAGTTTAAGTTTTAATTTAAATTCTTGTTCACAAGTAAGAGGAGCAGAAGATCAACAAAGATTGGTGCTGCGGCTGCAGTGACACTGTACCAGTCCATCGTGATGAAAAGAGAGCTGAGTATAAAAGCAAAGCTCTCAATTTAATGGTCAATCTACATCCACACCCTCACCTATGGTTATGAGCTTTGGGTAGGCCTGAAAGAAGGAAATCGAGGAAATGATCTTTCTCCGAAGGATGGCTCGACTCTGCCTCTTAGATATAGGGTGAGGAGTTCAGCCATCTGGAACGGGCTCAGAGTACAGCCACTACTGCCCCACATCGAAAGGAGTCAGTTGAGTCAGTTCAGGCATCTGTCAATGATGGTTCCTAGGTGCCTCCTGGGTGAGGTGTCCCAAGCATGTTGCAGCGCAGACCAATGACACGCTGGAGAAATTATATCTCTCAGCTGGTGTGGGAATGCCTTGGTGTTACCCCGGATAAGCTGGAGGAGGTGGCCGGAAAGAGGGTGGTCAGGACTTTTCTTCTTAGGCTGCTGCCCCCCCCCCCCAACCCGGCCTTGGAAAAGTGGAGATGGATGTTCTGGGACATGTGAAGCTAGAGACACCAGCAATCATAGTCAAGTGCCTTCCAGGGACTAGAAGAGGCGACACTGAGGGACATTTAAAACTGCTGGCTAAGGGTAAATGTAAATTCTGTAAAATTATAATTCACATCGACAGAAACCAGAGGACCTTGCTGTGGATGAAGTCATGGTAAAAAAAAATCAGGTAGTTCATCAGGTCCCAACCAGCCCAAATATCAAAGGGAAATTAAAATGCATGCCGTGGAAGAGTTCGGGTCTTAGGAGGTTAAAGAAAATAAGAACAATCCTAGGTTTCTCTTCAGCACCGCAGCCAGACTCACATGTATATGTCAAATGTCAGAGCTTTGTTAAGCCAACCATTCTGTTGATGGTATATAATAATGACATCATGAATTTCTTCACAAATAAAATTTTAGCCATTAAAGAAAAAAAAAACACTCCAACAAATCACAAACATAAAATTATGTGCAGCTACTTTTAATACCACTGATATTTATTTAGACATTTTTTTCCAAGAGATCTTTCTGAGTTAACTTTGGTAATCACTTCTAGTAAAGGATGAACATTTCTTTCAGACCCAATTCCTACAAGACGGCTCAAGTCCTATCATTAATTAATACTAAAATCTTAAATATGATGAGATGAGATGAGAGATGAGATAGCCTTTATTTGTCAGTTGCAGGTCTTTTGCCCACAACCGAGATGAACCTATCGCTAATAACCGGCTATTCATACAAGACCAAAAGTCTTTTTCCATGGCCTCTCCAAACTTCTTCCACATCCGAGTTTTTGCTTCAGCCACTGCCCGAGCTGCATTCCGCTTGGCCTGTCGATACCTATCAGCTGCCCCCGGAGTCCCACAGGCTAACCAAGCCCAATAGGACTCCTTCTTTAGCCTGGTGCCTCCCTTCACCTCTGGTGTCCACCATTTGGTTCAGGGGTTACCATCACGACAGACTCCAACAACCTTGCTCAGTGTAGCAGCTTCGGCAATGGAGGTGCTGAACATGGTCCATTCGGACTCAGTGTCTGAATGGACAAGCTCTCTAAAAGATAAAGAGAGAGCTGAGCGTAAAAGCAAATCTCTCAATTTACCGGTCGACCTGCATCCCTACCCTCAACTATGGTCACGAGCTGTGGGTAGTGACCGAAAAAATGAGATTGCGGATACAAGGGGTGGAAATTAGCTTCCTCTGAAGGGTGGCTGGAATCTCCCTTAGAGATAGGGGGAGAAGTTCAGTCATCCGGGAGGGTCTCAGAGTAGAGCCGCTGCTCTTGCACATTGAAAGAAGCCAGATGAGGTGGTTCGTGCATCTGACAAGGATGCCTCCTGGGTGAGGTGTTCCGAGTGTGTCCCACTTGGAGGAGGGACAGGACACGCTTGAGAGATTATACCTCTCAGTTGGTCTGGGAACGCCTTGGTGTTCCCTGGACAAGCTGGAGGAGGTGGCCGGGGAGAGGGAGGTCTGGGCTTCTCTGCTTAGGCTGCGTCCCCTGCAACCCGGCCTCGAATAAGGAGAAGATGATGGATGGACAACAGACTTTCAAGCTGGCTCTAGCTAAACCATTGCTTAAAAGATGGCCATGACTGACCACGTGCTTAGAGAATAACTCAAGCAGCAGAAACCCAAGAAAGAGGAGCAAGAGTAGGAACCATTATGGAAGGACAGGCCCCTGCAGGGTGGATGCAGTAGTTACAATTGTTTCAAAGAAAGTAATAAGCAATGCACTCAACTGCCATGGTCTGCATGCCCACTCACCATGCCATCTACCAAGATGATGAAGATGAGGCAAGGATGGTCGCTTCAGTAAGACAATGATTCCAAACACAAAGCCAAGGAAAGACTCAGTTGGTAACAGAGAAAGATAATAAAGCTGCTAGAATGGCCCAGCCCTGAGACCAGAATCCACCTGAGCTTCGGCTCTGTCTATACATTTTCAGAATTCATAGAAGTGCCCCACAGAAGCTTCAGGATTTGAAAACTGCTTGTGTGCATGCATGCGACTAGTTTCTCCATAAAGGAGGCATCTTGAATCCAAAATACTTTTGGATGGAGTATTAAACATCAGTAAGCATGTTCAATACTTTTTCCTTGTGTCATTTCTTATTTCACATGCGTCACTGCACATGCTGTGGACTTATTTTGTTAAATGGTGTGCATTAGCTGTGGCAGTATGTGTGAGTGCAACATTAGTAAGGCAGCTAGATACAGACTGAATGTGTTCTGCTTTAACAGAGTGAAAAAGCAGCAGTTAAACAGGAAGTTTCCAGTTACCAGTACTTTGTACTTACAGATTTCTGAGTGAAGACTGGAATGTTGTCATTGCTGTCCGTCACCGTGAGGATGACTTTTGTTTGTCCGGATAACCCTTCTCCTGCCATATCTGCTGCTTGTACTGTCAGAGTGTACTGTGGATATTTCTGTTAAGAGACGAGGACTGTTAAGGTAGATCAGCTCATCAACAGGAAGGAGGAATCACTGACATCAGTTTACAGACCTCTGTAACACACGGCTTTCAAAGTGACTAAAACCCTTCACCTATGAAGGCCTGGCATTCTGCTGAAAAGCTGAAGATAAACTCATAGAATATTTTGCTTATGACAAATACATGCAAACCTGATGCCATTATCTGATATTAGCCTTAGTCAAACTTTTTAAATATAGTGTATTATTCACCAAGCAGTGGTGAAACTGTGACAAGCATGACACAAACTAGAAATGGAGACCATTAGACTCTAAAGTAAAAGTTAAGCTTCAAGAACAGTGTTTGTTTTCAGCAGTAAATTCAGGTTTTACTTCAAAGGTAAATATTATCATCATCCAAGAAATCACCAGCAGTGTTTTTGGTGCAGTGCCCTCTTTGTGATTGATTTCTAGCAGTGATAGGCAGACTACTGATCCTGATTCATAAAAATGCTTTTTCACTTTCAGGCGTAAAAGGACACTTGTATGTTAAATGTGGTTTAACAAGTCTTACCTCTCTATCCAGTCCTCTACCAGTGATTCTGATGCTTCCAGTAATTGGGTTGATTTCAAACATGTTGTCAGTGGGCAGCGGTGGGTCCTGGTTCAGAATACGATAGCGGAGCTCTGAGTTGTCAGTACCTGGCTCATCGTCATCTTTGGCCTCAACCCTAACCACCTCAGTCCCTGGAGTGGAGGAATTCAGAAAAAGGAAATAAAGAGCAGAAGTGTCTGAAGGTCTTCACACTGCTTCATTTAAGAATTTATTAAATCAAAATAGAGTTAGTGTAAAAAGTCTAATTTCATTCCAACCCACATTGTAATTTTCTGAAGGTTATCTTAAAATTCATTGCATTTAAACCTCTGCACTACATTGATTTCTATTGATGAGAATTGTAGATAGTATCAAAAATAAAGAAAACTGCAAATAAGTGCCAACAAGAAAACAAAATAATGTCAAAAATATGTTTAAACATACCGATGGCCGTGGCCTCAGCAACATTTTCTTTGTAGTCTGTCGTAAAATAAGGTTTGTTGTCGTTCTGGTCGATCACACGTACTATAATCTCCATAGGAGCCTCAGCTTGTCCTGCTCCGTCAGCCACAGCATGTGCTTCAAACTACACAGGCAAAAGATTTCAACATGTTTGATTCAGAAAGTTTCAGATTCACCTTTAAATTAATTCATTTATCTCTACACCTTTAATCTACACACAATACAAACAAAGCAAAGATTTTAGTGTCTTGATGTGACTTTTGTTGTGATTCTTTTCTTTTGTGTGCCACCTGCTGCTACTGGTTGGGGTGAGAGAAGGGAGACAAAACAAAAGACACGCTGACATGAAAGCTAGAGATTAATAATAACTAATAATTGAATGCAGGGCAGTGTATAAACACAATGAGTGAAAAAAGTTCTAAGTTCTCAGCCTAATCTTAAAAGTAGAGAAGGTGTCTATCTCTCAAATCCAAACTGGAAGCTGGTTCCACAGAAGAGTACTTTAAATATTCTAAGAACCACAAGTAAGCCTGCAGTCTGAGAGCACTTAATTGGGGTGATACGGTACTTTAAGCTCATTAAGATAAGATGGGGCCTGATTCTTTTATGTGATGTACAAAGAACATCAAAAACAAACAATTTTAACAGAACTTATAACATAAAATGTTTATAAAAAAGTTTTCCAAAGTCACTCCACATGAAAGGATAATCAGAATAAAAGCCTTCATCATCAAGTGTGATGAAAGTGTGTATCTTTTGATGATCATCAAAAGATACACACTTTGGAAAACATTTGGACAAAGTGGGGATGCTTACTAGATATTCGGCTGTTTCCTCTCTGTCGAGTGGCTGTGTTACATACAGATTTCCAGTCTCTCTGTCCATTCTGAAACGACCAACAGGAGGCAGATCAGCTCCTGGACCAGTGATGTTGTAAAAGACCTTCCTTGTTTTATCTTCATTGGAGCGGATCTGGAAAAAACACACAGGACTGAGTTAGATCACTCTCACTGTCTATGGTAAAGGTTATGCAACAATAAAGAAGCTGTGCAAGTTCATCTTCAAAAATATCAAGAGATTCTTGGTTATCCTGATACACAGATCAGAATGATTCAGTCATCTTGTGATCTCAAATCAATAAGATTGCTAGATTCTCTAAGCGGATCTGGAAAAAACCACATTGACTTAAATCACTCTCAGTGATGAGGATAACAGTTCTGGGATAGCTGTTGCTCAGGATGTCAAGCAGGTAATTTACTGATAATAAGGTTGGTGGTTCAATCCCTATCTACTTCACTCTGCTTTTCAAATATCCTTGAGTAAGATACTAACCATGATTTGCTTTATAATGTTTGTGAATGTTAGAAAGCACTTTCACAAAAAAAGCATGGGAAAAAGTCCTCGTATGAATATGACAAGTTGTATAAAGCACTCTGAGTGCTCAGAAAGAGAATGAAGAAGTAAAAAAATTTCTGTTCATGAACCAGTTCATTTAACGTTTATACAACAGCAAAGAGGCTATGCACATTAATATTCAACAGAATCCTGGTTATCCTGATATCAAACATAAGAGAGCAGAGAAAGACGGCACAGTAGTGGATGTCGTAAGATAAATTAACCAATATACAGTATATAGCGTGAAACACAACTCTGTAGTTTTCTTAGAATAATTATGTTATTCCAACAATTTCCAACACACAGTATGGAAAAGACAGTAATAAAACAAGTGTCAATGTACTAACTGCCAACATCTTGCTCTCATTACTGCACATAAACTTTAGATCTTTCCCTAAAGCAATAACTTTTCATTCTCTTTCATAGATATTTTATTTATCTAGAATTAACAAAGTTAGCTCATAACTAAGAGGCATCTAAAAAAACTGGAAATTCTGGAGATTCAATAGTGACAACTAAAAATGGGAAAAACACGTGCTGACTGCAGAGGAACAACAGAGAAATCCTGTCCACAAATAATGTCAACAAAAGTCATTCAGTTCCCCTTACCCGAGCTACTTTTAGGGGATAGGTTCCTCTCTGATTCTCAGGAACATTGAGAGGAGGAATAACCCAGTCTCTCTTCCTCCTCCTCAGTCCTCCAACAGACTTGGGGAATTGAAGAACATGCGCTTGTGGATCAGTGGCATTCTGGGAAAACATGCAGACATATTGTTGGCAAAAGCATGAACAGAAGAAGACTCAGAAATTGTAATGAGGACCACAGATCTTATAATATATCTCAGAATCTGTGACTGTGTATCGTCTACACCATTTTTAACCTAAGACAGCTAATTCATCAAAAATCGAACAAAATATTAGAAAAATTGGAAGCTGTTCCTCAAAAGAGGGACTTGAAAGCTGAAGGCTCTGCCTCTCTATTATACTTTTAACACTCTAGGAACCACAAGTAAGCCCAGAGTCTGAGAGCGAAATGCTCTAATGGGGTGATACGGTACTTTAAAGTCATTAAGATAAAATGGGGACTGATTACTCAAGTATTGTATTTGAGGAGCAGAATTTTAAATTTGAGGTTTTCCATGAGGTGTTAGTGTGTTCAGTCCTGTCACACATTTACAAAGACATCATCCCAGCCCCACAAAACTCAGTAGAAACAGCTGATAAGAGTTTTACGCCCATGTACATCCATCAAGTCAACACTTGCAGCTTAAGGTTAAGCTGCAAGGTTAAAATTAAGCTTGAAAAAAATTCCCTTCTCGGGTACCCAGGACCAGTTTGGCTACTTTTTAAATAATTTTCAATGTCCGAAAAATCACTTTGAAAGACTTTCATGAAGCTGGGAGAACACTTCAAAAAAAATTACATTAGGTAAAAGTCTGGCCTCTCATGCAAAATAAAGAGATGATTTCCAGAAACAACCTTCACATCTGAATGGAAAGGATTGCGACAAAAAAAATTGGCCCTAGCATTAAAAGTTACACTTTAGCTGTTAGCAGTGGCTCATGGATAAAGTAGCCATTCATTTCACTTTTCTTACCACATTAATCTAATCTTCCATCACTTCTTCCTCACTCCTCCACAGCTGGTGCTAGCAGCATCATCCTGTGACTGTGAGGCCCAGTTACTAGTTGCTGGTACCACTTATATTCTTTTTATTGTTTTCTCTCAGCTTTTCAGCTCCACCTGTTTGCCAATTCTTCCACACTAAACTTGCACAGCGAAGGCTGTGTCAGGTGGAATGATTGAATGGGATGCTGTCAGTGTGCAGTGGACCAGGAAAATGTCCAATATGCCAGATTATCAGTCCTGCCCTGTCTGTAAATGTGTAGTTTTGAAAAAAATATAAATAGATTTGAACTTTTCCTTCATGCCCCATTAAACAGTGTCTATAAAACATTAAACAGTCCCGTATGAAACAGTGTCTACCTCTGTGTGGTCAGCAGACTTCACTTCAGTACTGTGATGCTGATGACTGTATTCTATGTGGTCTCCATTGTGGTGCTTTCCACATTGATGACCATGATGGTGTCCATGGTGATGCTCATAATGAACTACCCTGGTTGGAACGGTTATTTTCTGACCTTGAGAGTCCCATGAGTGGATGAAGAAATTCTGGTGTCCATTATAAAGAACAACTTCTCTGTTTACCTGGAAAGTAAAGAAACAAAAGTTTTATTAGTGCATCCACTACACTTCAATTCATTAGAAATGAGTTTCTACATTTCATTAGAACAATTATACAAACTTTCCTGTGATTTTTACAGTAATTCCAACTTTGCCGTCAAGTTAACTCACCATTAATACACCATCTGCCTTTACACCAAAGCGATTGTCATCAGTGCCGAAAAGAAATATTGTGCGGTTTGTGCAGTCAGTGAAGCCCACTGAGAAAGGATAGAAAAAAGTGAATCATTATAAATGTGGAACATGTAATGAAATAACTGGCAAGTCTACACCACCTTGCTGCATATGTCCTGCTGGTAGTGTTGCTGTATTTTTTAGTGTTTTCCAACAGAATACTCACTGGGGCTGGGCCATATCATACCGTTCACGGTAATACCGATATAATGTTGGGCAATGACAAGAAAATGAAGTATCGCAATAGAATATGGGTAAAACGCGCATGCGCAGTGCCTTTGTTTTCATACGCACATGGCGAAAAAGGCACGGCGGCGACAGAGAATGAGAAGGGCGAAAGCGGATCGTTGAATGAAACAGATGAACCAGAATTGGTTTGTAAAAACTGTGAAAACCTCAGTGTGGAACTGGTTTAGCCGTCAGATACACAACAAAGCACTATTTTTGGTAGCGCATGCTAGCGGGCCGTCGTTATTACCGTGTTTTTTGGAAAATACGGCACACTTAAAATCAATCCTTTGATTTTTCTGAAAATCGACAGTGCCCCTTATAATCCCGTGTGCCTTATGTATGAATTCTGGTTGTGTTTACTGACTGATGCTTTAGTACGACTTTGCTAAGCTTCAAACCCGCAACACTTGATGGATTGTCGGAGCATTACGTTTATCGTAGGGAGGAGCCTCGCGGAGTGATACGTACTGTGCTTAACATTACCGTATATTGTGTGTATAAGCTCTTTTTAAGTTTTGTGGATATTATACATGGTTATGCTGAGGATATGTCGGCCAATTTCCACTGGAAATGCCTTTTGGTTAAACTGTCAGCAAGGATTTTGCATTTGCACTGTTAAATTTTTATATAGCTTTAATGCAAAAAGCAGCTGCTTGTTTAAGTGAAAATACATTGATGTTTTTTTTTTTGCACTAAGAAAGTTGTGGAGTTGTAAAGTATTTTGTCTAGTGTCAATTATATCGTCAGTTGTATCGTTATCGCAAATTTTCAAATGTATATCGTGATAAATATTTTTGTGGTTTCCACCTGAGGCAGGAAATTTCTTTTTTATTTTGCTAAGTACTGAATTTTGCTGGAGGCTGCTCTTTGTTTCTTAACCAGTTTTACCCATGATTCCACTGGATAATGGGTAGAACTGGATTAGAAATACTTCTTATTAATGAGCAACAGTACATTTTCAAGAGACAAGGGAAAAAAGTGAAAAATGTTTGTTGTTCGTGTGCATGTGTTCTTGTGTGTGTGTCTACATGCACTAGTAAATGAGTGCATACGTTGCACATGTGGCGGCTAAAATGAAGCAAAGTGAGCATAAACATTCACAGAACTGAGTCTTGTCCTGCACATTGAAGTTTCCTGGAGCTGGAAATAGATGCTCTGATAATGTAGATTAATTAATGTTAAAAACTAATCTTAATAATTCGGTGTCCAGTTTAACGGCCTCAGGTCAGTAGCACAGAGTTTACACTGGCCCCTGTACATTTTTTGCAGGCAAAAAAGCTTTTATTTCTATGTTTTGAAATAGTAACATTTAATACAAACAATTTATCTTTTGTTTTATCCTAAATTGGCAATATTTTGTTACTAAAGCCTAAAAATCTATTATAATAAAACAATAAATTCTAGTAAACCTGATGCCTCTCTTTACACCCACCCCTCCACGTCACAGGTAGCACTGTGATAGAAAGCCACAGCTGCTGTCAAAGTGTGCAACTGAAACATTATGTGGGTCTTATCTGTTCATCTATAATCACATCCTACAGGTGTGATTATAGTACAATACTATAATGTAGATTTTTTGCTGTGTAAAACAAACAGTGGTGAATTGGGGGAGCTGAACAGTAAACTCTTCTTCACAGCTTGTTAAGCAGGTGGTTTGATGAAGGAATCCTGCTATATTTTTCCCAGCAAAGATCAGTATGTCATTTACTGTAACAAGTACTGCGAGATAAACTCTTTTAGATATGAGAAAAACAGTTTCTTTCACTCCACCTGACATCACTGTCTCACTAACTGCTCTTCCTCTTTATTCTTTGTGTGTCTAAATGTAACAAAATGTTTACATGTAAGGAATTTAATTGTGTGAATGACAATGAATACCTGCATCTGTGAAATTAAATTGTTTGCTCGACATTATGTTGTATGTCGCGCAAGACTTTTGATATGAATATCATTTCAGTGTTCCTCGCCTCACCCCCTACCCGGTGATGGCAGATGCTTTCCTCTGAGCCTGGTTCTGTTTGATGTTACTTCCTTTTAAAAGGCAGTTTTTCATCCCCACTTGAATTGAAGTGCCAAAATGTATTCATAGTTTTCTGTCTCTCTGTTTTCACCTTAGTGACTTTTGTTGTGATTTGGCACTATATAAAAGCAACTAAAGGCAAATAAAGCAAGGCAACAAGTGAATATTCATGTTAAAGCCTGCATAACTACAGTTAATTTGAAAAAGGCTACAGTCCACTTATGTTTTATATCATCTTTCAGTTTTATGAAACCAACAGAGTTCTCCTTCTCTTTCAGTGCTTCATAACATCTGAATAGCAAAACCTGCTAAACAGGCTTGGTGACATTGCTCTGACCTGAGGTTAAAAGTATTTGTGAGCAGTGTGAGAGCTGAATCTGCATTCCAGAAACCTTACAACTCAGATGCAGTTGGATGCCACAACTAGTTAAGCTGGAAAAGCACCAAAAAACAGACGTGTTTTACTTCAAAGCAAGGTAGAGCTATTCATACATTGCAAGCAATACAGCATCATAGTTGTTGTTTTTTTGTTTGTTTTTTTGGGGTTGGGGGGGTTAATATGGGTGTCTGGACACAGCCTTGTCAGTGCCTTACATATGCTTTATTTAGTGATCACAAACAACAGTTTGTGGCAGAACAGATTAAAAATTATAGTATTGTTACCTTCATTGCTGCCATCTTGGACTGACAACAATTAAATGGAGGATGCTGCTAATTTCCAAGATGAAACTTGGAGTTGAGGTCCAGATGAAAATTCTGATTGGGAACTCGAATATTCTGACAAACTTCATCTGGAACAAATGGTATGATGTTGTTTGGGTTTCAACCGAGAACAACGTAAGCAGCTAACCTGTTAAAGGCCATCTTGAGGAATCCTTTACAAAAGTTTTTTCATGTAGGGCTGTAACTCACGTCCAAATGCTCCCACAGGTTTGTATAAACAAATCCTCACATATCTATTATGATATGTTAAGAAACATCAACCATTTCATTCAGGTTACCAGTAAGACACTAGATTCCTGGGTTGTTCTTACCTCTGCCCAGTCTCATGCCCGTCCTCAGATGTTCCCTGCACACTCTGAAAATCAACAGCTCTGACTCAAATCCAGGCACACATGTCGACCTCGCAGCTATTTCTGGTGATGAGACCTAGAAGAGGAGAAAGAGTATTTTGGTTGGACCTGTAATAATAAAGTGACTAATCATAAGCAAGAGAAAATAAGAGTAACTGAATAACACAAGACAATATAACAATAACTATAACTGGCATTTTAAACAACAATTAAAATACTTTTGTTGCATCGCATAATATGAATACTTTAAGACATGTGTATATGCCATTTTTCAGAGGAAACAATAAAACTACAAAACACAACGTCATCAGTGGAATAATGGGAATCAACGTGGAGGGATATGGGGGAAAAAGCCTGCTATGCCTGTGAAACAGATTAATTAGTTTTTAAATCCTGCACAAGTTTTTTCTGCCCATTTAAAGAGTATCAGCAAGTGCTATGACTAACAAAAGTGTTCTTCTTACAATAAAAGGTTACTTGATGCATAAACACAACAAATGTGTCTGCCCCTCCTTGAGTCTGGATCTCCTGGAGGTTTCTTCCTGTTAAAAGGGAGTTTTTCCTTGCCACTGTCACCAAGTACTTGCTCCTAGGTGGTTCTTAGATTGCTGGGGTTTTGAGGTGACTGTTGTTTTGACTTGGTGCTTTCCACATGAAAATGAATCTAATTTTATTTAATTGCAGCAGGTAATGTAACATTAACCATATTTATTTTAAGTAACTTTAAACAGAATGGAAAATGGCAGAAATTAATTATAACAAAAGGAAGACGTCTCACCTGAAAAACGATGACTAAAGCGCCAAAAACCGCAAACCAAGCGGTCCCCATCTCTCCAAATCCCCTCTTTAATATTCCTGTTCTTCCTGTCGCACCGTAATTGTAGCTTCAGTAACTGGGTGTGAGCTGGATGGAAGTAAGTTTAAGTACTTTCAGCAGATGATGTCAGGTTACAGGTGCGCAACACCCTGGTTCCGTCATGCGTAAAGAGACATAACATGGTAGTTTCTGTTTCTGTTCCTGAGTACTTCACACAAGGGCGTAGATTTGGCATGGACGGAAGGGACATGTCCCCACCAATATCCGGCAATTATTGAATTGCCCCCACCAATAATTTGATCTCTTTGAGTAAAGAAAAACAACCCGATAGAAAGAAAAAACAAAAAAACATCTGTCAGCGTCTCATTCACCCAGCGGTGCAGAAAGAGTTAAATTATGTTCTCTACTTGAGTCCTACGTCATGTGAGAAATATGGCCAATGTGATTGGCTGTGCTTTTCAGTGAGCTCTGTTTAGTTTTAGCAGCGGCAAGCCTGCGCTGCCAGGAGGAGAGGAGGATGGCAGCAAAAAGGAAGAACCTGGATATAAGAAAGTATTTTTCAAAGAAACCTGTAAGTCACTTAAACTCAAGTTCACTCATAAAATGTGTCCGTCATAATAATGTTACAGGCTATGCTAGGCTTTGGCCCACATTAGTCTAAAATTGTATGTACCCATTAATAACGTGTTTTGGAAACTAACTGCACAACAGGCAGCACTCCAAGAGCAGCATTTCTAATTTTGATTGAAGCTGTCGGAGAAAACGGAGCCTCGAGCGAGCCAGGATATTAGTTTACAGAGGCTGTTAAAATTATACGTCTAAAGTCAAAATGTTGGTGACAATTTTATCCTAATGGCACTGACATATTCATAGGGTTAATTTTTGAGACAAAATATCATGAGGTAGTCACGATTTTGCAAATATTCCACCTTGCAGTGCAGTTTGCACAAATTGTTGTAAAAATGCACTCACCCTACAAACATTACTGATGAAGATCTGCACAATTTGACAGAAACACTGAAGCAGCTGCACATTTTATTCTTATTATCATGTATGTCCTATTTGTCAGGTGACAGAAGAACCAACACAAAGCTCAGAGAGTGATGGTGACACAAGATCACAGGTGGAATTGGATGATGACCTGTTGTTTCAATGACTGTATTTGAAGCACATGTGTGACTGCATGTATTTGAATGTCTCACTGTTATTTATCAGGTGACAGAGGCAGCTCTGCCATGTTGTAGCTCAGACAGAGGTGGAGAGGCGAGGTCACTGACAACATAACTGAAGTAATGTTGTTAAGTCCTTGAACTCATGTTTATTGTCATGACTGTATTTCAGGGCTGGACTGGCCATCGGGCATACCGGGCATTTGCCCAGTGGGCCGCTCGTGATTTTTCGTTTTTATGGGCCGATGGGGTTTTCTTCCTTTTCTTTTTTTAACGGTATAAATGAACGGTGGTGGATTGGCCAGTTGGTCATGATCGACTCTGGCCTGGACCAATTACAGCCGAGGAGGTCAAACTTTAAAGTTAAGGTGAAAAGGAACACGATTTGTCCCGTACTACTTCAGCTAGAAAGTTGCTAATTCAATCATGAAACTGATCAATGATCAGCTGATTGGCTTTTCTCTCTGCGCCAGAAAGATGAAACCAGCGGAGGTCGCATTAAACAACAGCAGCACGTTTAAGCTTGATCAGCTGTTGTTAGCATTTATTTAATATTAATTTCTAGTATCAGCTGATGTTTGCTGGAGCCACAGCTGTAAAGCTGCTGGTCAAGATGTCGGTTTGGATATGTGGTGAGAGGGAAACATGAAGATGAAACCAGGAGATGTCCTTACTGGATCGTCAGAGCTGTGATGGAGAAACAGGTTTACCTTTTAGGTGACATGAGTTGAAGGGAAGTTATGAACTGTTTCTGACAAATAACACCAGGATCCTTTTTTATGTAGCTGACAGCTGGTAACTGTGCAGGGGCGGGTCTAGCAAAGTTTTGCCAGGGGGCCAGGTAGGGCATTAACAGGGAGAGGGGGGCACAAAGAAATACTTTTCTTTCTTATTCTCATTTAAAATGTCTCGCTTTTAACAAATAATTACCTGAATCTTTCAACCAGCATTTTCATCTGATGTAAAATGTATAGAAATCCATTATTGCATTCAGTAAATATTAAGTCTCGTTAGTATATACCCTAGTAAGTTATAGTGTTCTTTACTTTGTTAAGGTACCTTCTGTGCAGTCTGCAATTCTGTTGAAGAAAGATGTTGAATCTATTTAATTACTGGAGAAAAATAATAGATTTATGTGCATTTGTTTTATACGCGCATTAAATTTAAATCGGTTTTGTTAGTTAAGCATCTTGAGGCAGAGGGTGGGGGAGTGGTTCCCTAATTTTTTTCTTTTTTTTTCTGGGAGTTGGCAACCCTTTTAGTTGTAGGTATATGTAATTATAAATGAGGTGTTACTGTTTAGAATACCAGAATAGGGAAGGTGGTGTAGGTTTAAGTTTAATTATAAAGGCTTCAAAGGATTTATGACTTTTCCTATAATACCATGGTGGGACCACTAGTCAAAATGCCGATATTTTGTCCCAGTCCAGCCCTGCTCAATATGAAGTTATTTTTATTTTTGTATGATACCTGATTTATATTGAATATGGCTGAAGTAAACCAAAGTCTAAAATACTTAGTCATTTGTTTAATTGTAATTTAGCATTATATAACTCACATATAAAACTATCAATTGTAATTTTAAATGGTTTAAAAGCATGTAGAATAGCATATGTAGGCAAGTACATTTCTCCTTTTGTTATCAAGAAGCAAAGACAAAAGGGAAAAAAACCTGAATCATTCGTCCCCACCAATGCCAAAACGAAATCTACGCTCTTGACTTCGCAGATACACAGCAGATAGTAGGAGCTGGCAGCAGTATTACCAACAGTGCTCTGAGTCTGAGCTCAGCAAGCCACATTCTGCAGATACTGACATTTCGACAATGTGTCGAGCGCAGATGTTTGGAAACGCAGTTCAAAGCACACAGGTCACGTGACCACAAACTTTTGGTGCACTTCTGTTCTCTATGCAACAACAGGATTCCATTTTATACTTAAAATCAGGCACGTGCAGAGCGGGGTGGGGCGGGACGGGCTTGAGCACCCGTCCCTTCCCTGATGGGTGCCCACAGTGCCCTTTTGTTGAGGCAATTTCTTTATTTTTTCTTTTTCTTTTTTTTTTAAGTGTACGTGTGGAGTCCTGTCTGTGCCCCTCAACAATAATATTTAACTATTAATCACAGTTTTGCTAAATAAAAGGATCTGGCTTGCATCAGTCACATACGGTGGCCCCTAGAGACAAAGCACATACAAACTCCAAAACACAACGGAAGTGTCACGGTGAGTGAGATGAGCCGTGTGGAAGAAATAAAGGAGGATCCAAACGCAGGCACTTGCAAAGGTGTGAGGGTGGTTTATTAAACACAAAAATATAGATGGACAAATGGTACACGGAGAACTAAACTATACTGGACAACTAAACTACTGAGCCTGAACAAGGACACGAACCTGAACATGAAGGAAGACGGAAGATGGTATATGACGGTGACAGCAGGAAGAACACACGAAAGGAACATGGTAGATACACAGACGGACCAGCAACTACAATGACAGAAGACACGACTTAAATACACACAGAGAAACACAGGGAGATTGCACACAGGTGGTGGACACAGCTGGGAGTAATTAACGAGACGAGACAAGGCAGGTAAACTGAACACACTCACATGAGACGCAGACCTTCACAATAAAACAGGAAACAAGAGATCACTACACAAAGACGCAGACTCGACATTGAGAGACAGACAGAAAATGACACATGGAACTAAACCCACACAAAACATGAGAACACAAATCCTAAACCGTTACATCTAACCGTACAAACAGTTCTGGGGACCGACCGTGCACACGGCAACGGCGGTGGTGCAGACAAAACAAATCAGGAGGCCGGCCACTTGGAAGGCAGTGGAGGCCACTGAGCAGGTCCGGAGGACGACCGCGAAGCCAGCGGTGGCGAAAAGGAAAGCAGCCGGCAGAGGCGAGGCGGAACAGGATGAGCTGGGTCCAATGACGGTGTGGCAACCGCAGGACCAGACGAGGCAGGAGCAGACGAGGCTGATGAAGACACAGAGGCCGGACCAGGTGTGGATGAAGACACAGGCGTGGATGAGGCTAACGCTGCAATCAGAACTGGTGTCCATTTACCTGATCATCCTCTCTACTTTGCTCTCTGTTATAGTAGAAGATGTTGTCTTTAGATGTTAGCTCCTTCTGCTCCTCTTTCCTCAGACTGACAAACAGCACAACCAGGACCAGCACTGAACACAGAGCACAAAGTTTAGCACACAACAACCAACCAAATCCACTTAGCTGGGAAAGAAAACAGAGGCTACAAGTTATAAATCCATTCACAACTCACTGAGCAGCAGAATGCCTCCAAGTACTCCCCGAATAATGGGCAGGTTGCTGCCACCTAAAGCACGCTGAGTACACATCAAATCTTCTCCCTTGCAGTCGCACACTTCAGCTTTGATGATGTTGTCCTGCCCCAACCCATGCTTGTCTGCCACTGTCAGTATAACACTGTAATTTCCACTGGGCAGCTCAGTGGCTAAATTCAAGATGATGCCTGTTCCTAAAAAAACCCAAAACAGATATTCGCAGGAAATAATCTCAACACAAGTGATGAAATATATTAAGTTTCTATTTCAAAATATTTCACATTCTGGCCATGTGACTGGACAGCATCACTTTATACAGTTTACATACTGGAGTCGTTCATCCTAGCGGTCCAGTTGGTCTTTGACATGCCCTGTAAAGACACCGAGTAGGGAGCTCCAAATTCTGGTCCATCTTTATCTGTTACTGACAGCAGCTGAGGAGCTGGATCCTTGTTGCACACCTGAGGAAACACAAAGCCTTTATGCTAATATTCTGTATCACATGACTGCATACATAGGGCTTGGTTAAACTTTTTAATTGATCGCATCTTGAAGTCGGTAGATTCAATAAATAC